GCGGTGGCGGCGCGGCGGCGGCGGCGGCGGCGGCGCGTGGCACTCGTGTTGGCCATGGTGTCGTAGGGAATGGCTGTGTCTCCGAATCGATCAGGCTGGCACTGGGTCCCAGGGGCAGGAGGCTGGGAGATTCCTGGGGCTCCGTGTGTCCTGGGTCCCGGGTGCTTTGGTGGCAAAAGAGGCGAAGGTGGCAGCGTGGCTTGACAAGTACTTTGAGCTTTGGAAGGAGCAAGGGCAGAGAGAGGTGTTGAGGGTGGTGGCTGTGCAGAGGACCTGGTCGAGGGCTGGAAGTGGTGCCTTCTTGGAGATGGTGAACTCAGTGTGGGGCGAAAGAGTCTGCTAGAGACCTGAGGGTGAGGGGCGGAGGCAGTGGGAGGGGCAGTTGGCCTTGGGTTGCTGGGTAGCACAAACCAATCTGAGTGGGGGCTGGGGAGAAGCAGAGGGGATGGGCGCGCGGGAGGGCTGTGTGGAAACTCTGGGGAGATTCCTAGAGGGCTGAGCTTAGTAGCTAACAGAAGTTTTTTTCATAAACCTCACAACAGTTTCCAACTAGCCTTAAAACCAAAACCTAAAATATAGTCAAGCAGAAAATCAAAAGGAGCACTGAGCATGACATGTGGGAAGAAATAAATTCGCATGTGGGAACACTTTTGACAAAGGTTGTTCTTTGAACTGGACCAGGAATGGGAGGCTTTTAAAGTACCCTCTTTAGTTTCTTTGTGCACTCTTCTTGTAAGCCCTTCTGCTGGTTGAGTTTTCAACCATTCTAATCTTATTTTTCTCTTGTTCCTTTTTATTTTCTGAACTTGAAGTTGCTGAGCTACTGAATTTGAATCCCTTGCTGATTCCCACATTTCGACCCCAGTTCGAGTCAGGGTATGGTAGTGAAAGTGTCAAAACTGAACCTCAGGGTTTTAAGAGTGCAAAAGTGGCACACAGGTAGGGACAGCCTGTTAGAGGTGAAGGGAATGGTGCTTCCTTACCTACTAACTTCTCAGGAACCTCAGAAGCCTTAGATCATGGGGTCCAGAGTAAGGGCAAGGAAGGGGTCCTAAAGAGAAAGGCAAGCTCCTATTCTCCAGTTAGGGAATGAACAGTCCACATAGTCAGCTCCATTTCCTATGAGAGGTAGTGTCAACCTCAGGAAGGGGCTTGAGGAACACACCAGATGTCCCCAGGCACAGTGGGAAAAGAAAAACATTCCAATAGAACAATATGGACACAATGTGAAAATGCAGATATCCAGAGTAAGGGCTTTGACCCGCTCTGGGAGTAAGGGGATGTGTGGCTCTTGTGCAGCTTCATTGTATCCAGTTCCTTTATAGTCACACACTAAGCCTGACCAGTATCAATGCGTGTGTATGAGTGGGAGATTGGTGGCTCTCACAGAAGTGCATGTACCTGATCTCTTTCACAAAATTCATTGAGTTAAGATGGAGGCATGTGTTATGTGTGTGTGTACAACTTAATGTATCTAACCAGTCATATGAAATAATGGAGCTGTTTTATTGTTGGCTTTCCTTATACACAGCCTTACATATTTATTTTTGTAAAGTTGTCTCAAGTCTACCAATTCCAGGTGCAAAATCCCATGGGCCAGTTTAAAATGTTATGGTCAGTTAATAAAAAGAATAAACAAAATAATTTACACAAAAAGTTGGAGACATTTTGAAATGAAATTCCTTGATTTGACAAAATAAAATATTTTGAGTTGTAATAATGCTGTGGAATAATCCTTGTGTATACTGTGAATATATAATACTCTCATTGTTTTAATAAACTGCTAACTGGTCAATAGATAGGCAGGAAGAGGTAAAAAATGGAGATAATATCACCCATCACATGGTCATTTGTTGGTAAATAATCCTCTCTCCTCTCTCTCTCTCTCTCTCTCTCTCTCTCTCTCTCTCTCTCTCTCTGTATGTATGTGTGTGTGTCTCTGTGTGTTTGTACTTCTGTATATGAATATTTTTGTGTCAGAGAGAAAGAGAGTGGAGGAGTCAACAGGAAGATAGAAACAGAAATTTACATGTTATTAGCACTTAATAAGATTCTCTTAAAACATGGCTGATTTTCTTTCTTTCCACTATTTAACTTTAGAAAGGTACTGTAGTGTCCAGTTTTTGAGACCCACCATAATGAAAAACAAATATATTTATCATTAATAAAAACTTGTATATTCTGGAACAAAATGTTTTTAGAATTGGCTACTCTTCTACTTCCATAAATCTCAATTGTGTTGTGAAACTGTAGATGAATATTCATAAGGGAATAATATATTCTGGAAATAAATTTACAGTGTGCTAGTGGATCTTAAAGGGGAAATTCAGAGGGGTTCTTTTATGAGACATCCAGATTTGGGCTTCACTCTTAACAGTTGCTAATATAAATATGCATTGCAAAAATAATTTATACTTTCTTCCACATAGAGTATTTCATATCTGGTTATACTAGGTAAATTTGATAGGAGTGATGAAAAATTTAAACAAATCATGCATTGATATCAGTTAGTTATGTAAAGAATGGATAAAATCAAGTCAGTGAACTGGATTGAGAAAGCATTGTACTCTGCACTCTGCAGTATTTTAACTAAAAATAGATTTCAATTATTTTCTTTACCCTTCAAACCTAATTATCACTCAATTCAAAAGTATTGTATATGCCAGTACTTCCTAATTTTATATTTCCATCACAAACTTTTGTTCAACTTCCTACTTGACATTTTAAATATCAACAGAGAATTTCAAAATCAGCATATATAATCCAAGAATCTTGACTTCAATTCTCTTTTTTATTACTTTATTAATACTAGGAATCAAAATTTCTACTTTCTCCCCTCCTCCTACTTCCCTCCTGCTCCCCCATTCACCCTCCCTTCTTCCCCTCCAGTCCTAAGTTAAGACAGGGTACCCTGCCCTGTGAGAAGTCCAAGGCCCTCCCCCTCTATCAAGGCTTAGGAAGATGTGCATCCAAATAGACTAGGACCCCAAAAAGCCAATACATGCCATAGAGACAAATCACAGTGCTATTATCATTGGCTTCTCAGTATGCCCCAATTGTCAGCCAAATTCAGAGGATCCAATTTGATCCCATTCCAGCTGGTTTTGGTGAGCTCTCATTAGTTCAGACACACTGTCTATGTGGTGGACCCCTCACGGTCCTGACTTCCTTGGTCATATTCTCCCTTCTTCTGTTCTTCAACTGGACCTTGGAAGCTCAGTCCAGTACTCCCATGTGGGTGTCTGTCTCTATCTCCATCTGTCGCTGAACGAAGGTTCTATGGTGGTATTCAAGATATTCATCAGTCTAACTATGGGACAGGCCAGTTCAGGCACCCTCTCTTCCACTGTCCAGGGTCCTAGCTTGGGACATCCCTGTGGACATCAGGGACCCCCCTCTAGGAGTTCAGTGCGGGGGTTTCTCAGAAAATTGGGAATCAACCTATTTCAGGATCCAGCAATACCCCTCTTGGGAATATACAGAAGAGATGCCACAAAAGCATTTGTTCAACTATGTTCATAGCAACATTATTTGTAATAGCCAGAACCTGGAAACAACCTAGATGCCCCTCAATGGAAGGATGGATAAAGAAAATGTGGATTATATACGCATTAGAGTACTACTCAGCGGTAAAAGGCAATGGCATCTTGAATTTTGCATGCAAATGGATGGAAGTAAAAAAACACTATCCTGAGTGAGATAACCCAGACCCAAAAAGAAGAATGTGGTATGTACTCACTCATTAATGTACTCTAGACATAAACAAAGGACATTGAGTCTATAGTTCGCGATCCTAGAGAAGCTAAGTAACAAGGAGAAACCAAAGTAAAACATATAGATCCGTTGGGAAATTGGAAGCAAACAAAAGTTGGGAGCGTGGGGGTGGGGTGGGATGGGGGAAGAGGAGAGGGGGGAGAGAAGGGAGAAGGGGAGGGTTAGGAAGAGCTTGGGGGAGTGGGATGGTTGAGATGGAGGAAGGACAGATATGGGAGCAGGGAATAAGATATCCTAATTAAGGGAGGCATTGTGGGGTTGGCAAGATTTCAGTCCTCTTATTTCTGAACTTTTCTTATTACCTGCCTTTGTGAATTTCACTACCATGCATTCAGTTTTTCAAAAAAATTTCTAATAATTATCCTTGACGCATATCTCTCCCCTGGGTTTAGTTCTAATATTCATTCTTCTAACATTTGTATAATCATCTAGTTCTCAGTTTTTCACTGCTACTCCTAGATTTCAAACCTATTTAATCTTGATTGTATAACTGTAGTATCATGCTATGACATTTTCAAGAGATGCACACCCTTTCCTCCTCCACTAAGTTTTCCACTCTAGAGTCAATGCAATAACTTATTGCAAATCCTGTCTTTCTACTACACAGTTTTAGACAAATTTGTACTTACTTGCAGTCGTATAACGTAGATCAAAGTTCACAAAACACTCTACCAAGCCCAGCATGATATAATTTATGTTACCTTGCCAGAGTTCTTTTTTTCTCATTATTTTAT